TTTTTAAATATAAATAAAGTAAAATTAATAATTAAAGTAGTTTTTAAATTATTTAAAATTAAAAAAATCCACATAATCATCTTTTATATGATGGATTTTCCATCTAATATTGAAAATGTAAAATAGTCAATCACTTAGTGAAAAAATAAGCTACATAAGCACTTAACTAATGAAAAGACGAAATTGGTGCTGAAAATTTAAGTTGAATGACATTTTCGATACTTTCTGAAGTTCAAGGATGAATTGGTTCAAAAATAAAAGTTGGGGGACCAATTCAGGTATTTAATCTAAAAAAATATGTTAGCCACCTCAGCATCACTACCCAATTAATTCCTAAATAGAAAAAGTTGAAAGTTGAAAGTTGATATCCTTATTTAAAAACTGATAAAGTTAACATCCTTAAATAAAAAAAAGTGCAAAGTTGATATCTTTATTTGCACCCTTACTCATACGAGTAAGGATATTGCTATTGTAACAACGATCTATTAGTCCGAGTAGAAGGAGTTTAGTTCTCCTTAAATAAGGTTTTAAGTTCGAATATTGTAAATAGAGAAACAGACACTAGGAGAATTTTTCCCTAATGGAGTTTGATGTAACTTGATTTTGAATTAATTAAAATCCAATGTGATTATTGGATATTGAGAGATTAGTACCCCAAAAAAAAGAATATTGTTGTTGTCATATTCTTTGTAAGTTCAATTCTACCTCCATTTTATCCCTTAGCCCTGTTGGGATTGGTCGATTTAGAGGGGGAGTGGGGGAGAGTGAGGAGTAAGTATCTCCTTTACCCTATTTGTTTTCTTTAATAATAGAGAGGGAGGGAGATGGAGGTTGATAAACTCTTCTCCACTCCTTTATTTTTCATCCTTTTAAATCAAAGGGATTGAAAGGGATTCGACTTACATATTTAATATTGTTTTAATATTTTTAAAAAATAAATATATAAAAATATTTTATTTTAATTAATAAATTTTAAATATTTTATTTTATTTTGTTTTGTTTTTCTTTAAATTATTTAATTAAATAAAAATATGTTCTTTTTAACTCCTCTATTTTCATCAATCCAAATAAAATTAATATCTACCCTCTTCTTCTCTTCACTTCTCCTCTCTTCCCTTCCCTTCTCCTTCCTTCCCTTTCTTTTACTAATTTTTATCCAAACAAACTGTTAGGATAATTCAATTATTAAGGAGAAAAGGTGTAAATAAAAATATTAATTTTTTATTTTTTTATTTAAAAATATTAATTTTGTTAGTTTTTAAATAATGATATTAACTTTTAATTTTTTATTTAATAATGTCAATTTTTATTTTTTTTTATTTAAAGATACTAACTTTCAATATTTTGGTTTCAAAATCCATTTGCCACATTAACATCACTATACAATTAATCCTTAAATAAAAAAAATTAAAAATTGATATTTTTAAGTAGAAAAAATTGAAAGTCAATATCATTAAATAAAAAAAGTTATTTAAAAGCTAACAAAGTTAACACTTTTAAATTAAAAAAAAAAAAAACAAAATTGACATTCTTATCTACACATTTTCTCAATGATTAAGAATTTAAAGTTTCAAATTAAAAAATTCAAATTTAAACATTGAGTCGAGTGGGATGAGATTTAGGGAAATGTGAGAACTACCTCTCTTGTATAATGCATTCAAATGTACAAAAAAAAAAAAAAATCTACCCCCATTCGAGCTTTATTACTTCTCTTAATTGGGTCTTTTAGCTTTTGAGACATTAGTTTAAGATAAACAATAATATGAACATGACATTTTAGACTGGTTTAAAAGAAGGAAGAAAATTAATTAAGATAAATAAATTAAATCCAACAGACTCTTTTACTAAAAGAGATCATTTTCATTTCATTGGCTGGAAATAAAGTGTAAGAATAAAATAA